TAAAAAAAAATTTATATTAATTAATATATCTGATCTCAAAATAATCAAAAAGAGCTTGACCAGATACTTTTGATAGGTAGTATAAGATCTCTTTAAATTAATCATTATAAACTGGATCCTTCGAACATTTCAGCATAGTATAAAGAAGGCTATTCTTAGTATTGCATAGGCTATTTAAAGAACAGAGGAGAAAAGAAGGAGAATCCTGAGCCCTGATCTTTTCTTTCTATGGAGAAGAATCCAGAATGTGTCAGAGAATTACTCACCTGGATTTGAGATGCAATTAAGGCTAAAAAGTTACGTGATTCTGTCTTTACTGAAAGTGAAAAACGTAATGCTTGGCTATTTAATAAATTTTTAAAACAAGAGCCTTATAGAACTATACCTAAAAAATTAAGAGATTATAGAAGTAAACACGCTTTCAGAATTCATGGTGGTAAGAACCTAACTCCCTAACATCTTAAACTGCTTTCGAGAATCGCATTAAGACAAGAATCTGATCACCTTGATGCAGGTAATAATTATGCTATAGATAATACAGAATTAGAGGACTTCAGACCTGAAGATGAGCATAACTTAGACCTGAAATCAGAATCTACAGAAAATGATGAAATATCTGATATTATCAATATATATAGTTACTAGCAACACGCCTTTAGTAAATTTTGCTAGATCTATTACCTGTGTAATTTTGCAAAGCACCTTAATGGCTATTTTTTGTTAAAGATACAGCATATATTATTTATGACGCAATCAAGCAACTTTTATTTACTGGAACTATTAAAACAGATTTTATATTTCTTAGCGATAGATAAATCTCTCTATTCCACTCTATATATTTCCTGATTGTGGTATAAATGTGATGTTCCCATTTTATGGAGACGCATTGAGTTAAAGGGAGGGAAAGCAGAAGATCGAACTTGATTAGAAAGATTTTTAAAAATAGTACCTAGAGGAGGAAGAAAACCAGTCTATAGCTTGAAATTAACTCATCTTAAAATATTGCATTACTGACTTTCTAATAGAAAAATCAAAGGCATTATGCATACTTTCCAAAATATAGTTCATTTAGATTTTGAAGGAAGTACAGACTGTATTGGTAAAACTCTAAAGCTAATAGCGAAATCATACCCAAATTTGAAGTATCTCAATATATCTACTTTATGGGAATTATGGTCAAAAAATGATATAGGTCTAACTGCAATCACAGAATCATACCGGAAATTAGAATATCTAAATATCTCTAACCATACAGAATTTTCTGAAATATCAATTTGTAATATTATTCGCTCTTGCCCAAGACTCCAACAACTTGATCTTACCTATTGTGGAATCACTGATATAACTATCAAAAAAATTGCTAGATCTTGTCTTAACATAAAGTATCTTAATTTGAAAAGGTGTAGTAATATTAGCAAAGAAGCCGTAGATCAGCTCATTTCTCTTAATCCAAATATCTATATCGAGAATTATGTAGATACTTTATCACCCTCTGATTTTGTTACAGTATTTAGTGATTATCTTAGACAGGCCAACGTTACTAATAAACAGACTTTAGCTCAGAGAATTTTAAATCTAAGTATGCGAGATATTCAGTATTCAGCCTTACATCAGATACACAGGCAACCTAATTTCAATACAATTGTGATAGTTTTCGATGATGTACTGACTGACCAATTTAGCTAATCCAGAGCGTGTTGAGAGGTGTTTTGCATGATCATTAATTAGATTTTTTTTCTTGGCAAGGTCCCTTTAGGAGACCGCAAAATGCTGAAAATCAATCAATGTAATTTCTCAAAGTTTAGAGCAGTTTGAAGATGAAAATTTAAATTTCGGTAACCTAAGGTCGCCTAAATCGAATACAAAATAACCTATATTTTTATTGATTTTAAATACTTATATACAGTGTGAAATGATATCAATCATGTTATCTGAATTTGATTCATTAAGATAACGCATCATTAAGCTTGAGGCTGAGAATGCTGAGGTTAGGTTAAATATATCAAGGTTATAAATGAGAATGCAGAGGTCAAGGCTGAGAATGTAAAGTTAAGATGCGCTTTGAAAGAACATGAAGCTAGGTTCACGAGACTAGAGCAAAGAGATAAAGAAAAGACCAACCTTATTGCTAAAATGGATGATGATATCAAAGAAATCAAATAATTATCAGCCAATGTCAGCTCTGTCGAGAACCCAATAATGTTGTTCGCCTGAGTAAACTAGAAAAGATTGCAAACTCATTAAATACATCTGATAGCACATTTAATTCTAATGTATGCAAACCTATTCGCACAGAAATTAAGTCATTAGAGAATAAAGAGACAGATGATTTCTTGGATGAGATATATAAGAAAAGGATTAGTGATGAAATAAGACAATATAACAAAGAGAAGAAAATTCAGCATGAGTCAATTATCCCTTCTGACTTATTATAAGTTATAGAAACTTCTCTAAGAAATCATGATGAAAATGAAAGTAACACAAAAACTGTAAATATTATTTATGATCAAGAAAAGATTTTATTGAAAAACTTTGTGCAAAAAATGCCTGAAAGACTTAATGAGAATGTTTCTCAGAGAGAATCAGATTCAGGCTTAGTAACTGAAATTGTACAAGACTTATTATAAGGATTTCTGGTGAATGATTTCCAGAGAGAATTTATTAATACCGAATTTATTGATAGAGAGTATTCTAATTCTTCACCTGTCACAGAAGAGCTTGCCCATTTATTTCATCAAGCAAGTATAACAAGGAAAAATTCGATCAAAGCTAAGCAAAAAGAGATTTCATTTTGGGGTCGCTACTCTGAAAGATTTGAAGATAAGGTTATAAAGCTCAGATCTGAGGATAAAAATCTTAAGGATAAGACAGCAAGGTTTTAAATCTATAATATACTAAAAAATTTGTGTGAAACTGTAACGTTTAGATTATTAATTTATATGTGTGTAACTGTCACGTTTAGACTATTGATTTATACGTTTGCAACTGTCCTTTTGAAATGAATTAAATAAACAAATGTGCAACCTTCCCTTTTGGATAACGAACCTAACTGTATGTAACGTGAT